TAAATAAAAATTCAGATTTTTTATCATAGAGAAAAAGAGGTAAAAAACTAATTTAAATTTGAGATGAGAAAGTTTTTTATATTATGATAAGAAAAGTCATAATATGGATAAGTTCACGTAACTCAAGTCATAAAATAAATTAGAGATAATAAGTGGATATTTATAATCATACATTTATAAAATAAAATAAAGTAAATATACAATACTTAATAATATTATAAAAAATTAAATAATTTGAAATTTTCAAGCAATATTTTTAAAACAAAATAAATATTTATATTGTTGATTAAAAAATATATATTTATCTTATATATATTAAATTCATCATTTCCATCTCATTTCTTTGATCCAAAGTATAATGTCAAAGTGAATTGCATTTCGAATTGGCTTTGGTTTGTTTATCCTTTTTTCCCTTTGATGGGCTTTTCTTAAAAACAGATTCGAAAATTATAAATAAAATTCTCATCTGATTGTGATTGTCACGCTGGGCACATTTAATTTCAACCCAAATCATAATTTGATATGTTTTATGTCCGCGCATCGCGCGGGTACTAATACTAGTTATATTAAAAGGAGAGTAGTTTGCAATGTGGTTAAGCCAAGTGGCAAGCTAAAATGAAGCCACTTGGCAATTTCAAGACAATATAAAAAAATTTGGATTATAAATGGAAAAATATTTAATGAAAGTAATAGTCCGAGATTTTCTATAAATTGAATTTCATTCTTTAATTAATCAAAGCCAATTATTTTAACATTTAAAACTAAAAATGTTCTCTTTTTGAGAATCTGTTGGACATACACAAAGAGGGATGCAACTTTCATTAAGCAAACAAATATATTATAGCTATAAGTATCTTTACTTAAATTTGTGTATAATTACGTTATGGTAGGTATCCTTTTTTGAGAAAGAATCAACTAAAATTTCTTTTTTGTATCTTACACATTAATTATAAGTTGAAATAATAATTCTATATTTAGTACAGGCTTTGTATCTGACCTTATTTGCGAACAATATACATTAATATAGGTATCTACATTATTATAGATATCTTTAATTAAAGTTTGTGTATAATTCAGTTATGGTAGGTATTCTTTTTTAAGAAAGAAATAATTAAATAAACATTTTTTGTTTATGAGTTTTGGTATCTTTAATTAAATATTGTGTATAATTCAATTATGGTAGGTATTCTTTTTTGAGAAAAAATCAATTAAAATTTTATTTTGTATCTTACACATTAATTTTAAGTTGAAATAATAATTCTATATTTAGTACAAGCTTCGTATCTGACCTTATTTGCGAACGTTATACATTATTATAGGTATCTTTAATTAAATTTTGTGTATAATTCAGTTATGGCAGATATTCTTTTTTTAAGAAAGAAATAATTAAATAAACATTTTGTATCTTACATTTATATTATTTTAAAGGAAATAGTATTCAAAAAACCAACAAGAGGACAAAGGAAAAAGACAAGAAAAATCAAGGTTTGGTGGTTAATAAATTTTAATTAACCACAAAAAAAACGTTGAAAATTAAAAAATGCCAAAAGCTAAAAAATGAAAGATTCGTATCATTTCTTCAGAACTCACACATACAAATTGATTTACACATGCCTTTTTTAAATATTAGGATTTCATATACATAAAAATTGATTTACTATGATAGTCTTTCCTTAGAAATATTTATTTAAGCAACTTTTCTTTAGGGTTGGCTTCTCTATATTGCTTAGGGTTTAGCTTCCACATAAACTTCTGCAAAGTATGGCTCCAAACTATAACTATATCAGCGAAATATCAATGTCCAAAATGAGTTGGAATTTGTAGGTTTGTGTTGTTAGATTATGGCACATTCCAGACCGCGAGAAACAAGAAAATTCTAATTCAATTGAATTAATTATTCAAGATGAAAAGGTGCATACTCTTTTACATGTTGTTACTTTTTTCGAGTAGTAATGTATTTTTTTCAACTTATGCGCCTTACTAACTTAAACTTCTTTTCACATTTTTTATCTTAGGGAGATTGAATTCATGCAACTATTTGAAGAGCTGTTATGCATATTTTCAAAACAAAAATACATGAAATAGGATTGTACGTTATGAAAAACTTTGTGGTTGGACCAAACAATCTGAAAATTAAGACCAGCAAGCATAAATTGAAATTGACATTTTCTCATAGGAAGAGTGTGGATGAAATTAGTGATCCACAGTTTAGTTTGAATATCTTCAACTTTAAGCCTTATGAGCATCTCACAAATCAACTTGAGGTTGATGAGAATGAACTATTCGGTAATTGTTTTGCCTTTCACTATTTTTTGTTGAATGTTTTATCACCTTATTTATAACTATTTATTTAAATATGGCAGGTGTCATAGGAGAAGTTATTGGTCATGGTAACGTAGAATCGTACAATCAAGGTGGTAAAACAAGTACCTTTATGAATTTGGAGCTTGAGGATCATGCGTACGCTTGCAACCATGAATTGAATTAGTTATAGATTCAATTACTATTATTTTCTCATTATTAATTTGTGTATTTTACATATAGGAGGAACAATATTTCAGCAATATTTTGGGGAGAATTTATAGATGAAATCTTGCCCCACTTGGATGGATCACCCAATCAATGTGTCATAGTAGTTATGCAGCTCATAAAAGCTCACAAATTTCAAGGTACTCATATCATAATATTTAGATTTGACTTCTATTTGTGTGTGTGTGTTTTTAAATTAAAGTTAATTTTATATGTAGGCAAATATTCTGTGCGTAATACTTAGCATTCCTCGAAGCGTTGGATTAATCCTGATATTCCACAAGTTGTTGAATTTATATCCAGGTTTTTTATATACAATATTAAATTTATATATGTAATACATAACTTTTTTTTAGCACATTTAGAACTAATATAAAATTGGATAAATGCATATTAGGAAGTGGGCGTGAAGTTAACTTTGAGAGGATTAGTCAAACAACTTCTCAACGTAGTTATTCTGTTTCTGAAGAACTGGCTCTTGGAAATGTGAAAGTTAAAAACATTGGAGAATTAATTGATTTCATGCAGGTAAGTAAAATGTTCTTTAGACAAACCATGACTAACAAATATAGATCTGTCATCTTATATAATATATTGGATTTCTTTTTTACAGGAAGGGCAAATCTGGATTGTTACTACCGTAGTAAATTTAGAACTTAAAAGGGATGGTCATATGTAGGGTGTAAAAAATGCTCGAAGAAAGTTGATAAAATTGGAAATAAGTTTTACTGCAAGAAATGTGAACGTGTTGATCATTCTGCTCTGAAAAAGTTTGACCGTAATCTATGCTTAATTAAAGATTATTAGAACATAAATTTAAGTTAAAAAAGGTTTTTAACTTAAAGAAGCTATCAGATACAGGCTTCAGGTTCGAATAATTGATGGCATTTCTTTGTTGCTTTGGGATCGTGAGGCAACAAAACTCATTGGAAAGTCTGCTGACACCTTGAAAGAAGGTGTAGTAGAGGTATGTTATTTTATTTCCATTGTTTCATAGTTTTAGCACTTCTAATACTAACATTGGTTTAGACTTCTGGTGCTGCTTATGAGTGTTCTCATCCATTGGAGATTGAAGCTATTCTGGATAGAAAATTCATGTTTAAACTGACGGTTAAATCTTCCAACATCGATGAGAATGATGAAGTTTATATTGTCGTTAAGGTCAGCGACGATGAGGACATTATACAAAAATATAGTCCGTCTTCAGAAGCAGATACCTTTACTGTATGTGATCTTTACTCAAATTCCTCATAATATATATTGAATTGTGAGTTCAATGCTAAAACTTATTACGCATTATTTTGTTAACTTTTCAACTATGATATCAATTTAGGATCCAGATTTCAATAATGAACAAGTCACAAGTGGAGATACGAGAGACAAGGTGATTAATGTATAGTTTCATTAAAGAGCTTCTCATGATACATTGACAATGGTAAATGATTTTCTACTTTTGATTATGTCAACCTTCACTATTTTGCTTTTGTAGGATTCTATGGCTGATAATGAGATGATCTCTCCTAAACGGACCCCTGCCAAGAGAACTAGAGACGATGATGGAGCAACCACTGTAGAAGTTGATGATGATATGGGACAATTATCAAGCAACAGGGTGAAGAGAGTGATTAAAAGGAGAAAAATTCATGAGTTGTTGCACAAGCTTTAACTGAAATAACTTAGTGGAGTACTTGACTTACTTTTCAGCAGTTAGCTTTGGCTATGAACTAAGTGATTCTTACTAATATTTTGTTATGTCGTTATTTTGAAGTAACTTTACTATTTATGTTATTGTTTTGAATTCATACTATAAGAGTTAGCTCTTTGTTGCAAAAACGTCTTTCACCTTCTAAATATGCTAAAAAAAATTAACTTTACTCTTTATGTTATTGTTAGGCTAATAGACAAAGCCAGTGGAATGTTAGAAAGAGTAAAAAGTTTCAATTACCACAAATGCCATACAATAATAAAGAGAGAGCCTTAGCAGAAAATCAGTTTTTGCATATGCATTGCCGCATACATTTTGATTCTGAATAAGCTAATGTTTGACATAATTCATGTTCCTTCATCATTGCCTCAATACAGAGGACAACTTTTGAAAAATTCACTGCAATATATCATGAGCATTTGCTACAAATGTTCCCTTAAGCACATGCTTCATATCAAGCAAATTGTATAGCATCATTATTTTTCGTGAAACATTCATATCAAACAAATTGTATAGTATCATTATTTTTTATGGAACATTTACTAGGAGATGGAATGAAAGTTTTACTGGAGTCTTAAAATATTTTTAATGTTTGGTTGTAAAGATGGTATTAACTAACATATTAAACTTCACGGTGTAGATTGTTCTTTTTAATTATCCACGCATCACGCGGGTACTAATACTAGTATTACTTAATAGTTTAAACTAAGTAAGATTATTATGGTATATATAATATTTTTCTAAGAATATTTTTGGCAAGAAGAAAAGTCAAAACTGCTTCTTCTTTTGGAGAGAAGCTATTTTTTTCTACTTCTTAAAAATTGTTTCTGCTTCTATCCAAAAGTACTTTTTTCCCCAAAAAAGCTTGGCCAAACACCTCAAATTGAGAAAAAAGGCACTTTTTCTAAGGAAAAAAAGTACTTTTAGCTTGGGGAGAAGCGTGGCTAAACAAGCTATAAGAGTTATTTAATGGTCCACTGTTTCCATTGGGCCGAAGACAGACAACTTTAAGAAAATCAAGAAATGAAATACTAAAATACTATACTAGTATACTTTTTTTTGGGTTCAGTATGCTAGTATTACTATTATCATGACATAATAATACTACAAAAAAAAATATTCTTACATGTTCCAAGAGAAAACTATGAAAACACATAGTTTCCTTCGAACATAATATTCTCTCTTTATCAGTCTATGATAATTAGGTGTTCTAACTTAACTTTTATGGTTAATTTAATTAAATTTTGGAAGTCAAGGAAAGAATAATATTAGTGAGCGATTAAGATTTATGCAAAACAAGAAGAAAAACAAATATATATATATATATATATATATATATATATGAAGCCCCAATTTAAAGATTGAATTACAGAAAACTCCTTCAAAAGTTAATTGACTATTATAACCTTTATTAAATGATAAAGTTTAGCCCCAATATAATTTATTGCTACTTGAGATGATCTCAATGTAAGCCTTCTTACCTCTTAGCTAAGGACCTTTGGTTTGCTTTGTCGTCATGCTTTTTCCATCGGCTAAGAAATGAATCAGCAACTTATATAGATCGACTTTTAAAAGAAGAAATAGCTAAGGAAAGCAGTAAAATTGCAAGTTTAACATGTAAGTTCATTGTCTCCAGGTTCATTGTCTCTTTCTATGAGTGTTCATGAAATTGCATATTAGTATCATTTCTGTAATTTTTTATTAAGCAACACCACCGACTGTTATTTATTATGAAATAGTATTTGTTTTATCTTTTTTTCGTTGATAATTATATAGACTTTTGTGCCATAAATGAAATATTAAGCAGTAGAGTTTTTCTCCCTTCAACTTTCATTTCCTATTTAAATTTTCTTTTCATTTTCCTTTCCATAATTTTTCATTTTCTAATATGATAATCATGGAATTAAGTAGGTTATTTATTATGAAATAGTATTTGTTTTATCTTTTTTTAGTTGATAATTATATAGACTCTTGTGCCATAAATGAAATATTAAACAGTAGAGTTTTTCTCCCTTCAACTTTCATTTCCTATTTAAATTTTCTTTTCATTTTCCTTTCCAGAATTTTTAATTTTCTAATATGATAATCATGGAATTAAGTAGGTTAATTTAAATGATGATTTTATCAAAATAATTAAAGTACTAGTGTAAAATTATCACGATCCGGAATTCCCACCATCGGGGCCGTGATGGCGCCTAACATTTCACTTGCTAGGCAAGCCAACGTTAGAACAATTTATCCTTCTTAACAATTTAAATTTAATTAATCGAGAAGAACTATTTCAACTGCAATAATAAAAAATATAAATGCGGAAGCTAAAACTGTAAAACGTCTGCTACAAATCTCTGAACCCAGTGTCACAAGTGCACGAGCTTCTAGAGTAATATATACAAGGTCTGAAATAAACACAAAGATGTCTGAATGAAAATACACAGCTAAATAGATAGAGGAAGGGGACTCCAGGAGCTGCGGGCTAATCGTAGCCAACCCTACACCACTACAAAGTGGCAAGAGCAGTCGATGAGCTTTTACCCAAGAAGGTCGGGATCGAATCCACAGGGAGGTAGATTGTTTGAAAAGTTCCTATCCATACTGGTAACGTGCAAAGTAATTATTTACACTTCTAAACATGCGTTGATGGTTCACTAATCTAGATTATCACTAATGATGCTGAAATTAAGCTAAGTATGATATCTTTTTGTATGGTTTTCTTAATTTATGGAAAGAGGGAAGTGACTTTGCCCTAGGTGAATACTTGACGGGTTCTAAAGTCTAAGGCAAAGTTGTTATGTTTGGGATTGCGATATAGCCAATGCACGAAACTACTCACTCTATACCTCTCGGTAGCTTGAGTGACTTTGCCCTAATTGGCTTTCTCAAGACCAATTGGGTGTCAAAATTCAAGCAATATAGGCTCAAGTCGGGTATTACTATCTCTAGGTTTAACCCTTTAATTGGGGCTATCAATCTCTTGAATACGCCCAATTCCTTGTTGGCCTGATTTTCCTAGACTCAAGCTCTCTTTCTCAAGAAGAGCCCAAGTCAAAAAGGCACAAATTAGTGTTTGTAACCACTAATTCAACATGGAAAACACAAATCAGGCCAAATATCAACCACCCATAAACATCTAAGCCCTAAAACAAGAGACTCATCAAATACCCACACTAGGGTTGAGCCACAACCCTAGCTAATGGGTCTAGCTACTCATAATAATTGAAGAAATCCGATATTGAGATGAAGAATAACCCATAAAACATAATTACAAGCTAAGATTCGAAGATTCAATGTTAAGCTAGCTACAAAATTACTCAAAATAGCTAAAAACGGCGTTCACGTGCTCAACTACAAATCAAATTCCCTAAAAATCTGAAAAAGAAGTATTTGTACAAGGCCGAATTTTCTGGACAAAAATACCCTCGACGGAGGTACCACGGACCGCGGCCGCGGTCAGGCTTTTTGGCTTCAAATCTTTGTTCTTTGAATCTAGCCACCGCGGACCGCGATAAATGGACCGCCGCCGCGATGGCTTCACCGCTACCGCACAAAATGCACCGCAGTCAGCGGTGTCTTGAAACTTCCAAAATCCTAGCTCTCTAAATCCCTTCTCCGCGGACCGCAACAAATGGACGCCGCAATGAGGCTACTGCGGCAGCAAAGAATCTACCGTGGGCCACATTGCTTGAAACTCCAGGGTTGCATCTTCTCTGATCTTTGCCACCGCGGACCGCACTAAATGGACCGCGGTCGCGGTGAGTCTATTGCAGTCGCAGTGGATTTACTGCTGCAGCGGTGCTTTGACTTATTCTTGGCACTTGTGCAGGTTTCGCTCCTTTTTGAGCTGGTTTTGACTTCTTTGTCACTTTTTGACCAAACATTGCAAACAAGTACAACATGTAAGCCTTCGGGATTACTTGTATACACTTTTAATCCAAAACTCAAGCAAAAAGGAGTATAAAATAGACTAGAATTCCTAGTTATTAACTCCCCCAAACTTAAGCTTTTGCTTGTCCTCAAGCAAACAAAGTAAGTCCCACCTCCTTAAGAATAAAACCAAGAAAATTTAGCTGACCTAAAGTGACCTCATCTAGCATCAATTGGGACTAACAGTTGCCTTCAATTCAAATGAATCATTAACAACATTCACCCTTTTTAAGCACTATGGTTTTAGTGCGACACAAAAGCATCAAGAGCTGACTCAACTCATCAAGGAAGCTCTTTCTACTGCTTTGGTCATTGTGGAACCCAAACTCATACTCCTCACTCTTCCTTAATCAAAACCTCACTTTTAGATTATAGCACTCAGAACGAGGATTGTGGAAAACACACTCATCTCTCTCAAAGAAAGGTCACAAGTCCGGCTCTAAGTACCATAAGCTTGCTCCTTATGTGAGTCACCACTAATGTAAGCTTCACTCAACTCAAGATCATATAGGGCTTTTGTGGGGATAAAATGAAGGCTTTTGGTTCAGGGTAGGATATATTTGGTCTAAGAAGGTTTCATCTTCCCTTAAGCACTTCATTTGCTTTATTTTGGCACATATTCTCTTGACTCTTTGAGTCATTTACTTCTTTCTTAGGGGTTAGAGAAACACACCGTCACTCTTTCTTGTTTATTTCAACCCTTTTTCTCCTTTCTAATCTTTCCATGCCTTTCATCTTTTTACTTTTATTGAATCCCTTCATTTCTTTAACAATTGTTCATTCTTTTTGACTTTTTGATTTTCTTTTCTTTTCTTTTTTGCCTTTTCCTTTTCTTTCATTTTTGTACTTTTTTACCACTTTTTTGTCATTTCCTCGTCTTC